CCAGCCCGTGCCAGCAGCAGCACCGCGCCTGCGGTTTCGGCTCCGCGCCCAGCACAGCTCTCTTACCGCAGTGTCCGCAGGTTGCTGCTCCGGTGCCGCGGTGCCCGGCAGAGCAGGTGCATGGGGGAGAGCAGCTCCTCCTGCTGCTGCTCGACGAAGGGATGGGGATGTCCGCTGGCTCCCGAGGCACTGGAGCTGCAGAGGGACAGAGCCTGGGGGGCACGGGCAGCCCTCACCGGCTCTGGGAGCTCTCGGCATGACGCTGGCACACAAACCCCCGCAAGCACTGCTCACCACCAGCTCACAGGAGGTCTCCTCGCATGGGACCTCCGTGGCTTTGCAGATGCAAAGGACCACGAGCATTACTGCTGGAGTTACCCCGCTCTCAAGCAAAGCTCGAGGCGCACTTAAAATTTCAGCACCGGGGATCTCCCCTTTGCATCTGAGAAGGGGGATGTGAAGCCAAACCAACGCCTGGGCACGGATGGGCCTGTTTGGGCTTGGGAAGTGAAACCCAGACACTCCACCTCCATCGATCCCACCGCATGCAGCAGTCAGGGGAGCCTGCGTGATCCTTATTCTCCCACCATGCTCCCCAAGAGGAAGCAAGATCCTCCACTGGGGAACTAAACGCCAGTGAGAGGACAAGCTGGTGTTTGGGTGGGAGGAGCTGAAATGCCTTGAAAGCCATCCTCTGGGGTGGAGAAAGAGAAATCTTTGCGATTTTGGGTGGCTAGAGCGGAGAGGGTCAGTACTTACCGGGCCAGCGCTGTGGCCAGCTCTTCCCTGGGGTCCTGCTGGTCGAAGGAACATCCCCGGAGGGTGACGCAGCCCAGCCCAGCCCACTGCCTGATGCAGAAGGAAAGAGCCGTTTGGTTGTACAGGGTCAACTTGATGTCCTGCAAGTCTGTGTCGGTGAAATGACCCAACACACTTTGCACAAAGCTTTTCTCGTTCATCTCGAACAAAAAGTGGAAAGTGTCCAGCTCTGAAAGTGTCAGTGCTTGGCTGGGGCGGGAGACGCCTTCATGCCTCCCCTGAAGCCACCTCAGCACATCTTCCCTGGCTCGTGGTGAAATTCTGCACCCGATGATTTCGTCCGCATACTCTATTGATTTTTGGCTTACCAGACCAAACAGGAAACGCACCACTAAGTTCAAATCCTTCCTGGACTTGCTATAGCTTTCTAATAACATATTTATGTCCTTCACGAGAGCCCCCGAGTCCCCAGCCATTTCCTCATCGTCCTCCAGAACATAAAACATGGCCGCAAAAAAAATCCTGGAGGTGCAGGCGGGTGAAGCTGTAGATGTTCCCATGGTCTGCACCTTTCTTTGAGATCTTCTCGTTGACGAAGAGGGGGAGAAGTTCTGGCTGGTGCAAGCCACGCTCCTTGATTTCCTTCTCCTCAAAGAGGACCTTGTGCGTCCAGACACCGTCAGCAGCCAAGGAGCAGAGCTTGTGCAGGAACTGCTGGAGGTCCTGCGGGTTGTCCCTGCCTCTGCACTTCATTAACCGGGAGAGGTAAAAGACGTTCATCCGCGGGGTAGCTTTAGAGCACTTGATGAGGTTTTTCTTCTTGTAAAGCTCTTGTTCAAGGATGGTGCAGACCGTGCAGCTCATGATGGGGATGACGCACAAGTTGTAGAGGATCTCATTGCCTCTGGCAAACCTGAAGACCACGTTGCCTTTATTGTCGTTCTCAAAATGCCTCTAGCAATACTCCTCCCTCGTGGCTGCCGAAAACCGCAGTATCTCCGCATAATACTCACCCTCCAGGCACCGCCCAGGGCATTGAAGAGCCATCGGCCTCGTGATGATGAGCAAGGAGGACTCGGGGAGGACAGTCTTCTTCAACAAGCTCCTCAGGGTGGTTTCCAGCGCCTTCACTTCCCTGGGGTCAGAGCTCAGCTCATCTTCAGGCTGAACCAAGGAAAATCCCAGGGCCTCGAAGCCATCAGAAATGAACAGGATCTTCTTCTGGTCATCCAGCATCTTCCCAGCTGGCGCCCACTTGTGAGGGCAGCGTTTTGAAACCACGTCTGCCACGCTCGCTTCTTTGGTAATGGCAAGGTCTTTACAGTCTATGCAGAAGATGTACTCACACTGTGCGCAGAGGCTCCCTTCCAACCACTCTACCATCACCTTCCTCACCATCATCATCTTCCCCATCCCCGGGGCCCCCACCAGCACCACCACCTGCATCGGTTGCCCATCTTCGTTGGGTTTAAACAGCGTCTGTGTGGTGACAGTGATGGTGGCTGGTGTGTTGCTGGCGTCAGCACAGCCACAGCTGGTGCCCACAGCTTCATGCTCACCTCT